AGTTGGAATTTTAGAAAAAATGATCCTTCCTGTGGCGGATTTAATCAGAATTATTGTTGAGACTCTAGATAGAGTTCAGGGCATATTAGTAATTTCATCTCTTGCTTGTCAACGCTCTGTGTTCCCAGGAGGACTTTAAGAAGGACAGTGGAGAGAAACTGATCCAAGTCCTGTGCGAGAAGGACCAGGCCGAGGCTGGGGCCGGCGTGTGCTCCCTGCTCCTTGCCCAGTCTGAGGTGAGGCCTCAGTGCCTGCTGCTGGTCCTGCCCAACAGAACAGGTAAGGGGCACACCTGTCTTGGGGGCTAGGAAGGGAGTGGGGCTGAGGTTAGAGGACTCTGAGTAGAAACTGGGCATCTTAGCTCAGAGGGCGCAGGTGCTGGGGAGCAGGGCTGGGCTCACTTTGGGGGAGGCCCTCCTGAGGTCAACCATCCTGGCCATCAGAGCATCCTCTAAAATAGCTTAAGATGATCGAGCAGGATGAGCTGGTTCAGCTTCTAGATTCAGCAACCCCTGTTTCTAATTTTAGAACTTTCCAGCAAGCTCCAACTTCTGAAAAGTCACCAGCCTGACTTGAGAAAGGTAAGTGCGCCAAGAGGATGGGTCAGGGGTGTTCACTGGAGTAGGGGAGGAAATAATGATCCTCTCCAGACCTCCCGTTCCTTCCTCTCCATCCAAGTCTTCACTTTCTAGGTTTGAACCAAAGTTTTACAGTGCCTCATAATTGAGAGATGTCAGTCTAAAAGCCTATTTAGAAAACTCCTGAGGTCATTTCTTCTTGAGTTTATTCACCGTTGGGTCATGGACATGGGTCTGATGGGTTGGACTCCTTTCTAGAACCACATTCTGCAGTGACTAGGCTATCTTTTCTGTGTCTTCCCTTCAAGCTGGGGATCCAAGGCCTCACGGAACAAAATGTTGGGAGCCACCAGAGCTATTCCCGCAAGACTCTGATTGCACTGGTCACCACGGGGATCCTGCTGGCTGTCTTGGGCACTACTGGCTACTTCCTGATGAACCGCCGCAGTTGGAGCCCCACAGGAGAAAGGCTGGTTAGTTCTGGGGTCCAGGCCAAAGGAAATGTGAAGATAGTGGTCTTCTGGGGAGGCCCATGAATGTCATTTTGGGGGGGGGGAATACCAAAGAAGGCACTTTTGTGCCCTTACACAGGGATAAATGTGCCCACACACACTGTGTCCTTGGACTAGTCAAAATAATATACAGGGTGGGGCAAAAGTAGGCTTACAGCTGTTTGTATAAAAAATATTGCAATCATTAATAAATAACAATACAGGAATAAACTCTGTTTCACATACTTGTAACTGGGTAAACCTACTTTTGCCCCACCCTGTATAGCAGATTAGGGAGGGGGCACGAACTGGAACCAGCCCACCTCACTGTGGTAGCAGATGGGTCATGTCACCAAATTCTTTTCACCAGGATGGTTCATCTGGACTTAACCGGAACAGGCTTCTACATCAGCCACTTATTTGTAAACATACTAAGTGGCCACGAGAGCCAATTGGCCCACAAGGGGGCATGGGGAAGGAAAACATATCTTCAAAAAAAATTACTTTTACTTTGGAAAACCTATTTTTGAAGTGTTCTGGATGAGGAAGGACAAAGCTGGTGGCCCCTGTCCTGGGGAGGTTATCGCACCCTGGGGACTGCCTGGTGTCTGGCGGGAGCCGGCTGTGGCGCTGGGTGGTGCGGTGTGGTGCTCTCCTCTGTCCTCTCTCCTCTAGGAGCTGGAACCCTGACTACCCTCCGGGAAGAAAGGAGCCTGCACTTGCAGCTGCACCCCCTTCCCCCACCAGTGCCTCACTCCCCTGCTGACCAGATAATGCTCCTTTATTTATACACCGTCTAGGGCGAAGACCCTTATTACACGGAGAACGGTGGAGGCCAGGGCTATAGCTCAGGCCCTGGGGCCTCCCCTGAGGCTCAGGGAAAGGCCAGTGTGAACCGAGGGGCTCAGGAGAACGGGACCGGACAGGCCACATCCAGAAACGGCCATTCAGCGAGACAACAGGCGGTGGCTGATACCGAATTGTGACTCTGCTGGGTGGGCGAGGCTGGGCAACGTCTGGGGAAGGGGCCCTCCTTGCACCTGGCCACATGCTGCCTCCCTGCTGGAGGTGCCATCCCTGGCCTTCCTCCCTTTGCCACTGTGCACACCCTCCAAGGCCGTTCTTGGGGCCCCGCGCTGCACCACAGAGGGGTTCTCTCCCCCTTGGGGAGAGGCAGATAACCCTGCCCTTTACGCATTCAGCTCCCTGAACCTAGACTCTGGTCTTCTTTGAGTAAGGATGTGATGGGGAAAAGCCAAAGTTCAGAGAACTTTGTAACATTCAGGCCCCTTGCCTCTCCCTCTTCTCTGCCTCATTACGGGAACTCCCCGGAGAAAGCGTGGGCTTTTCTGGGCTACCATTTCCTCCCAGGAGCCTTTGCCTTTTACTGTTTCTTCCTTATATTTTCTTTCTTTACGGAAACCAAAGCAACCCACTGCGCCTGCTCCTTTGTAATGATATAGCCAGAAAAATGTGTTGTCTTACACCATGTACCTTATGCCCCTCTCAGTCACTGTGGATCCAGTCACCAGCTTCCCTCTTGCTCTCCAAGATCCCCCTGAGCTGCACAGGTTCCCCCCTGAGCTGCACAGTCCCCCCCCCCGGCTGTGTACAGAAGCTTGTGCAGCTTTCTGGCTGAGCCCGGAACTGGGCTCCGAGTGTTAGGGCAATGTCTCTGTGTTTGGAGACAGGGTGGAGGTGGGTGGGCACACGTGTTCCCACCCGTGGGGGCAAATGGAGGAGAGCAAGCGGCTCAGTCCTGGTCTGGAACCTCGCAGAGCCTCTGCTCAGGCTCCGCTTTCTCCCAGCGGTCAGGGTGGACAGGAACACGGGACCACATCATTGAGCCAAACGTCTTGACCTGTGCGCATCTCAGGAAGCCTCTTGCTCTTTGGCTAGGCCCTGGCCTTATCCTCTGGTCTCAATGGCTTCCTCTCCCCTCCCCCTGATTCCTGGGGTGAGCTGTGTCCTCAGTCCCCAGCAGACTCCCCTTGTCCCTGCCTCCCCCACACTGACCCACTTCACAGCTCTGCAAACCCTTGTGGTCAGAGCCCTCGGACACCTCCAAAGGACACTCACCACAGGCCGCCTCCTTTGTGGGTGACTCAGGTCCTCACTTTTGTTTTTGTTTTATTCCAGAGGGGTGAGCAGGGATCCCGATTTCAATGACGGTTGGAAATAGAACTTTCCAGAAATAGGAAGATTGGGTAGATTTTTTTTCTGAATAAAAAATGGTGTCTAAATACTGTAATTAAAGTTATAGTGAAACACATTTTTCTGTGGCTCTGACCCAGCTGGGTGTGTCTGAATGCCAGAGCGGACACCTCTCCATCAGATTTGGCCAGACTATGCAGTGATGTGGTAGGGAGGACCATCTCAGGGGACACAGGTACCCACCAGGATGCAGCCCCTTCAGATAAGTCTACCAACTACTCCTCTCTCTGGGAGGAGACAAGGAAGGCTCACTGAGCTCCATGCTGGACACTCCTGGTCTTAGAAAGAAAAGCAGCTGGAATGCAGCAAGGGCCTTCAGGATGGGGGATGGTGTGCTGAGGACTTAGGAGCCATGAATACTTTTCTGAGAAGAGGCGCATTTTGGTAGCTGTATACAAAATACTCAAACAAAAGGAAGGAGCCATGCCCTGTGGGTCTCCTATTATCACACCAAACCCTGTCCCTGGCTGGCAGGGGAGGAGCTTCTGCTTGAGAGATCTGGCTGCTGTGTCCAGGAGGGGTGGTCTCCACCCTCGGCGTTAAAACAGCAGCCTCACTGCAAACCCTTCTGTAAGCACCCCAGTGCCTCCGTGCCCAGGCCCCCCCACCCCCACCTCAGGCTGTAGGAAGTGGGGGAGGGCAAGCTGCCGGACAACACTGAGTACCTTCAGGAAACACTCCCGAGTGTGTCAACAGTGGTGGAGGCTGTTGGGGCCAAACAAAGGATCCTTCCATTCTTATCTGACCAAAACCAGACCTTCCCCTTCAACACTGCCCACCCCCACTTCCCCCTTGGTTTCTCCAACTGCCCTAACCAGAGGTTCGTCCCGAGAGACAGGATGAAGGGGAGAGATCTAGAGCCTTCCCCAGGGGGTGCCAGCTGATTGAGGGAGGTTGGAGAAAGGAGAGGTGGTAATCTGCAAATAAGTCAGGTTGGCCTTCATCTATCTAGGCCCACATCCTGCCATGAGAGTGACCAGATGAGGGTCTGGCCAGCTTGGGGTGGCAGGAAGAAAGGGTGGACCACAGGGTACAGACTCCCAGGAAGCATGGGAATCGCAGAAAAGGCAACTGAGTCTTTGAAAGGCTTCCAGCCTGGGGCCCAGCACCCTAAACAGTATTTTACCCCGAGTTTGTCAGAGTGTACAGCTTTGGGAGGAAGGGGTGCATGTGTGCGCATTTAAGGGGTGGGGCGGGGTGGTTACTAGTTCTCTCTGATGGCGGGACTTGTGCTGAAGGGTCTGGGCTTCCTAGACAAACTTGCCCCTTTGGCCTAAGCCTCCTGGTGCAGCAATAGCTCCACCTGCCGGCCCTGCTGGTGCAGCAGTGGCTCCGCCTGCTGGCCTTGCTGGGCTCCTGCAGCTCAGCTTCAGTCCCCTTGGCTCCGTGTTGGGCTTCTCTCCCCGGCGGCCTCGCCCTTGAACAACCCAGTCCATTTGATCTCAGACGTGAAGCTCATACACCTACAGGAAGTCACTGCCGGAGAGGACTTCACACATGCAGTCAGCTCAGCTCCCGTATGGTAAAGACTACTAAAGTAAGGCCCAGAGACGGCACCCGGCTTCCCCAGATCAGCCGGAGTTCAGGTGTCCTGAATCCAAAGCTCTGCCCTTCATCATCTCACCCCACCCTCCTGCCGGGGCCTCAGGGTTCCTCCAGGTGGATGTCACGAAGCTAGCGAGGGCAGTGTCAAGAAACTTTGGGGGCTTCACCTCGGGAGCGTTCCATCAGCATGTGCTCTTGCAGGCCTGGCCAGCCTAGCAGGACCCGAGACCTCGGGGCAAAGGAGAGCCTGCTGGTGCTGGGAGGCTCAGCTACCTCTACTGTGCCTGTAGCCAGCCCCGCAGAATTAACTCTGGAGTGCTACACAGATCATAATGCAATGCATGCCTGGAATATCTTCTGCCAGATTTTCATCTAGGTGGATAAAGAGGAATGTCCTCCAGATCTGGACAAATGGGTCTTCCCTGTCCCATCCCCTTTAGGTACATCCACCCCACTATTGCTCTTCACAGAGACCCAGAGCAGGTGAGCAATTGTGTGTGACAGGATGCTTTTCCTCAAGTCCCCTCCCAGGAACTCCCAGCCAGCATGCAGCAGGTCTTAGAGGACACCTACTACGTGCCAGACACTGTTCTAGAGGCTTGGGACAGAGCAGTGGACAGATCCTCACGGGGCTCACAATTCTAGTGGAAGAGAAAGACAATAAACCAACACATTTTTCTAAGTAAACATGTGTATGTGTTTTCCGGTCGTATTAAGAGCTATGACAAATATAAAATAGATTGAGAGCACCGGTTGGTATTTACACATAGTGGTTATTCTCGAGGAGGGAAGGACTGAGAGCATAGCTCGCTTGAATGAAGTGAGGAGGAGATTATGCTCCGCAGAGAAAGGAGCGAGTTCAAAGCCCGCTGATGATGCAAAGCCTGGCAAGGGCAAGAAGCCCAGCGATGAGGGTGGCGAGGCGGCCACAGCGGCCGCGTCGGAGAGATGACGCGGGCCAGGTACACTAGGCCTTCCAGGCCTCGGTAAGGAGTTTGGATTTTATTAGCAGATCAGGAAACCATCGGAGGGCTTTGAGCAGGGAAGTAACATGATCTGCTTTATTGTTTTAAAAGATCCTGCTGGCTGCTGAGCAGAGAACAGAGGTCGGGAGGCAAGAGAAAGAAAGGAAGGCGAGCAGGTGGACCGCAGTGATAACATCGGGGTGGTGCGCGTGGCGGGGGCAGGGTGGTGATACTGGAAGTGGTGGGATGAAGCGGGATTGAAGAGCTGTTTTGAAGGTGGAGCTTAAAGGGACTTGCTCTGTCCATTTATTTCTTCAGATCATCATCATCACAATAATATTAGCTCACATTTATCGAGTACTTACTGAATCAAAATTGAGATGTCATACCAAGGTTCAAATAGTGTATTTTGGTTCATATTCCAGAAACTTTACGAAGTAGGTGCTGCTTTCTCAGAATAAGGAACTGAAAAGCAGAGAGTAGCAAGGGGACTCTGCTAGAGGCTCAGTGGCAGGGGGAAAGGAGAGTAAGATAGGAATTTATCTGAACCCAGAACACTACAGGTGCATTAATACAAACAAATAAAACCGAGAGCAAAAACAAATGCCAGGCAGAGAGTAAGAAATAACACAAGAAAAGACTACATGTGCTCTGCATCCAGAGGCGGCAGGACTCCTAGCCGGGCAGAGCTGGGGCTGGGTCATGGAGAAGCATCTGAGTGGGGCTGTAAAACTGGATAAAAATGGGTACGGACGTTTGAGGCTGACAGAAGAGCGTACGTGGTGTGCTGAGATGGGAAAGTACAAGGTACTTTCGAAAAGCAACGCGTTCCCAGTATGGCGAAGAAGAAGAGTGTGTGAGGGACAGCTGAGTACCAAAAAGATGGGTGTCAGTCTGTGTAGGGCATTTAATGGCAGATCACAGAGTTTAATGTCATTCAACAGGAAACAGAGAGCCACTGAAGAGTTTCCATGTACTCACTGAATTATTCATTTATTCAACAAATATTTTGAGTGCTTACTATAAGCCAGGCACCTGGGATAAGACACAGTCCCTTCTGTCAACTCTTTACACTGGTGGTGGGAGGGACAGATGACAGAACAGTTAGCATTGAGTGTAAGAACTACGGTTTAGGAAGTGTTAAGTGGGAGGGGCCTGGAAGCCATGGAAGGCTTCCTGGAAGAGGTGGTGTCTTGGCTGGCCCCAAGGGTCAAGCAGGATTTAAAAGGGAGAACAGGATAGAGGCGGGTGTTCGAGGGGGGGGAAAGAGAAGAGCCTTGGCCGAGGTGCAAAGTGAGGGTGGTCATTCCAGAAACGTGGGTGGTTCCTTTAAGGACCAAGCAAAGAACACACGATTCTTCTTTCTGTCTTCTATTTCTGTGCTGAGGTTTCCTGTTTGTTCTTTTATTTCAAGCATGTTATAATTGTTCACTGAAGCATTTTGATGATTGCTGTTTTAAAATCCTTGTCAGGTAATTTCAAAATCTCTGTCATCTCAGTGTTGGTGTCTGCTAATTATCTCTTCTCATTCAAGTTGAGATTTGCCTGGTTCTTGGAACTCTGGGTGATTTCAAATTGTACCTTGGACATTCGGGGTATTGTGTTGTGAGACTCTGGAGCTTGCCTCAGTCTTCTGTTTCAGCAGCCCCTCTGAGACGGCATTGGTGGGCGCCTCCTGGTTGCCACCAGGTTGGGGGAGAAGTCCAGGCTCCCCACTCAGCGGTTGACACCTGTTGGCGGGGGGGAAATGCCTCATAATTTCTGGGCCAGAGTGGACGTTCGGGCTCCTCACCAGGTCTCTGCTGGTGCCACCCTGGTCACATGTCATTCCTTGAGTCCCGAGGTCCCTAACTGCCTTCTCTTTACCTTTCAGCGTCTTCTTATATTTGTTTTATATGTAATGTCCAGGGTTTTTAGAAGTACTTAGGCAGAGAAACAGGGAGAAATGCAGCTGCTTCATCTTGTCTGAAACTAGAAGTTCATGCAAAAAATATGAAGTGGGGGAGGAATTACTAGCCATGAGCTAGAGAGTTAAGCAGGCTCCAGACCAGCTTTTCTCAAAGCCCTCTTATACCATTAAAAGTTATTGAAGGCTTCAGAAAGCTTTTGATTTGGAGGGATATCTATTAATAATTACTGCCTCAGAAATTTAAACTAAGAAAAATTTAAATTATTCACTAAAACTAATATTCACTAAAAATAATATTATCTCATTATGCGAGTGTATAAGTAATACATATTTTAATTAAAAATGGTCTTTTCCAAAGGAAAATCAGGGAAAAGAGTGGCATTGTTTCCCATTTTGGCAAATCTCTAAACTACCTGACTCCATAGAAGACTGCTGATTCTCTTACATGTTTCTGTGCTCAATGGCTGTCATATCATGTGTCATGCAGTCTCTAGTGAGAATTCTCACTAGACAGTGAGTATTGTTAGGAAGATAGTTTTGACCTTACAGACCCCTTGGAACTATCTTGGGGACCTCGGGGTGACCTGGATCCCACCTTGAGAAGCACTGCCCTGGAGCTGCCCTCCTTCAGTAGCCACA